TCTTCTATTTATAGATTGGGGGTTTTATTGTATCATAACTAAATTAACCACTATCATTGTTAGAATAAAAATCTTTTTTCTCTCCTCAAAACGCCTTCATGGTTGTTACAATATATAATATAGCCTAAATTCTGACGAAAGGGAATATTCCATCAGGCTATAATCCTTGCCCCCTTTTAATCATATAACAATTATTGACCCTCTGGTTCAAATGCTGCTTGTCGTGTAAAATGTTGGATTTTATGCCTAAGGTCTAGTTATAGGAGAGTTTGTAGTTCTTATGCATTAATCGATTGTCGAAAAATCTATTAAGCTGCGAGAGTAAAGTTTATATTCACTACTTTGTTATTCCTTTGGCAAACTATGCTGTCTTAGGCTGACTTATCTAAATCTATATTTTGGTGTTGATTTTGGTACTACGGAAGTCACTATCACAAATTATTCACGATTAGCTATTTAATTATGAATTCAGGGAAATGCAGTGAAGATAATGTTAATAAGCAGCTGGCCACTGTTGAACACAGGTATAAGAAAAATAATAATTGGTGATTTTGAGCCCAAAATATCTTTGTATTTGCAGACTACAGCTCTAAAATACTTGATATTACACCTACTAGCTTTAAAACGGGTTTATGAATGGTATATTGACAAATGTGGCCCATAGCAATTTGCAAACGAGTATTTGTCAAAGTGTCTGCTTTTAGCAACTATTGGGTTTGATACAGCTCAATTGAGCTAACATATAGCTATGATTAGTATGTTGGAAATGGGTGACATTATAACAAGCTTTTGGCTTCCATAAATAAAAACAGTGGAAAACGTACCTTGACTTTCAATTTTCTAGAAAATATCACGTAGCTATTAATTGTGTATGTTTGTAATTTCTAATGGAAAAAATTATTTTTCTTCATTATTATTGTTATTGCTGACAGCATGAAAACAGTGTATAGCTTTTATTTGAAAAAGTTTTTGTGCTTTAACCTGGTATGCTCTGTGACAAAATTAATAAAAAATCTAAGAGCATCAAGCCGGAGTATATACTTAAGATAGCTATTTGTAAAGTATAAATGTAAAGCTCTGCGAGCCCAAGCTTCTACTGTCAAGCAGTACCAAAGAATCCTCATCTCTAGCAATGGTTATTTGAGGCAAAATAATAGTTCCTACTGTGAAAGTAGGTTATAGTTCTAAGAAAGGACGTGCATTTGTGTATAACACTGACAAGTACTGCTGGTTTTCTTCAGATAATATTGGAATTATATATCTCTATTGGCAAAGCAATAGGAAAATTGCTGCTTATGATCAATCTGAAACTGTGAAGTACCGAGTGGTCAAGGTGCATATTCTGGTAAATGCCTACAATGACTTCAGATTGATAGTAGTACTTACTTGCATAATGAACCACCAGTTATCGGCAAAAAAGCCAGGTTAAAGAGCCGAGACTCTTACTAGTGCTGTTTCAGCAATTGCTGGTGCATAAATGCCCATATTATTTTGATTTTCCGTGCTTATTTTTAATTGCGAAAAATAAGCCTTTTTAAATATTTTTGGTATTTCTAATAATAAAAAATGGACGCTCTTAACGACGATATGCTGTGCCATATACTTGACAGAGCATACTGTGCTTTGCCTTTAAGAATTGAAGACTTTCGGTTGGATATAAAAATGCTTCATGTTTGCCAGCGCTGGAGACAAATGCTATTACCGTACATTTACAAACAAGTGTTTATTACTAACATTGGCGGACACCAGGATACACTGCAAACAACTATAGATTTAGCTGCATCCAACGGCTATTTGGGCTATTGCCAGCATATACTAATCAAAATACACAGTTCAACTAAAATTCTCAGCAAACTTCATGATGCTATAAGCTTGGTACAGCGCTACTCTAATAGTTGGAATGCAGTATCTCAGCTAACAGTTTCATTCGAGAACCCGAGATTTATAGGGGAAAGTAGCGTAGCTACAGCTACAAATATTGAAGGGTTTGCCAAAGCAGCTCGGAGCATTGCACATACCCTACCTAATATTTCAAGACTACGAGTATGCAGCATAATGGAAGATAGTGGAATAAGTACACTACTCAACTCGCTTATAGATCACTATAAAAACAACTTGATCGATTTATTGGCAAAAACAGTGCAAATGCATCTAGCGGAACTTCCTCAATTAAAACGTTTGGATTTTATGTTTGCCGACAACGTAGATTCAGCTCTTTTTCCATCGCTTTGTGAAACTTTGGAATATTTGTACTTGACATTGATCCCGCACGAACAGCTATGTAGTTTGTTTGGAAGCAATGGCAGTCCAAAAATATTCCCCAATCTTAAATATTTAAATATCTATTCGCCACTTAATCATATTGACTCGACAACAAAGTTAAAGATACAATATCATATTTCCCGCACCCGACTGTATCTTCCAAAGTTGTGTTGTCTTATCCTGGTCAACAACTACAAGTATTGTCCCATCTTGAGTACTGCAATGCTTCCTCGACAGATGAATCTATTTTCGGTTTCTGTATCCTCTCAAACGATTATGATGTTAGCCAAATCGGTAATTCCCCAAGCACAACGGCTTTCTATTCAGCTATATCACTGTACAGATGCTGAACGCGATAGTACAGTAATGGCATTGAACCATATTTACCACCAAACAACAGCAAGAACAAACACGATGCTGACCTTTGGCTGCTCAACCCGAGCCATTATGCCCAATGAAATTGGCGGTGCAAATATCAATTATTTATCGGTAGCTAAAAACGTGACTATAGCTATGCTAATAGGCTTTATAGATAAACTCCCAACATTAAACCGGCTTGAGGCTCATATTGATCAACAGAGTGAGTGTAGTCCTGAGTTATCTATTCCTGCAGTAACTGATAAAACTCTGCACCCATTACAGCCATTTGCAGCACGAGTCAAGTATCTAGAATTGTATTATGATGATAAGCTTGCCAATTCTATTGTGCTATTAGTCAAGTACGTTTTACTACGGCTGCCAAGTTTGGAGGAACTCAACTCGTACATGACTTTCAAAAAACCCATACTGGAGCTTATTGAGGAATACACGCCACTTTACCCACATTTGCCTTTTGTAAAGTTGATTTTAAATCCAAAAAATTTATGGTAGATCTAGCTTCATTTTCTTTCTCATCAACAATTAAATCTTTCTTCTGATTATTTTGATTGTATTTATAGCATGGTTCGCACTTTTACGCTGTTTAAACGAAAGAGACTATCTCGCGACGTGTTTGTTTATGCAGGGGAGCTGGAAGAGGAGCCAGAAACAGACAGAGTAAGCTCATTAGCCTATTCTATTGACCAAAACAGCCGACACTTTGAGCTATGGAAGCACGTTCAGCCAACGTCCAACATAGTTTTATCCGGCGACTTTAAAGGGTTCCTTGGGCACTCAGCAGATATTAGCGGAAACCACTTTGTTGCGAGTGCTAAGCGCAATGGAAAGTTCAGCAACGGTTGGACATTCACATATATGTCTAAAAACTATAAATGGTCGGTTTCGTTGATGGGCGGGTCTTGGAAACTGAAAGATGATGGTGATAATGTTATAGCCGAGTTTGATCGAGCTTCCTTTAGAGTCTCCAAAGTTGGGATATTGAACATATATGAGGATATGAATGACGAATCGTTCAGAGAAATGGTCTTGATAACATGCGAGATTGTGCACAGAACTGTCAAATCGACTGAGCGCAAGGGTGGAGGAGGTGGATAGTTTTGTTGAAACTGTTTTTGTATTTGAACAGTAAGACGATCCTCTAAAGAAAAATCAGCATATCACATGTGGGCAAGACTGCGCAAAATCAACATAGGTGATGTAATGACGACACTCTATGCATCCGAATTGTTGGCTTGGCAGTAAACTGTGTCTATTTTAAGAAAAACGTATGGGCTTTTAACATATAAAGGCAAGCTTGCTTTCCATCTTCTTAGCTTTTATTATCAACATGGACACATTTTACACACTATTCTACAAAAAGACACTTTCTAGCGATATAGTTGCTTTTCCAGGCACCTATCACGATCGCCCCGACTCTCAGAATCAGCCATTCGACTTTTGTTTTCATACTGGATTCCGAAAATATGAGTTCTGGAACTCCTCATCAAAGGCTCAGCCTCAAATGACAGGAAAGCGTGAAAAGCTCTTCACTCGCACAACAACTATCCGAGCTGGCAATGGGATGGTATCTAATCTGAAACATCGCGGTTCATGTTTGCGTCAAAAGTGGACCCTGGTCCACAACGCTGAAGAGTTTGAGTGGAAGACTGATTGGAAATCCAAGCATTTTATTCTAACCAATCAGCATGGCCATCCAGTGGCAAAGTTTGATCGTGCTTCAAGGAGGATGAGCAAGGTCGGCGATTTGATTATTTACGGTCAGCCTGATGAAGCGACAAAGTCGCTGTTTGTTTTCACTTGCTGTATTGTGTACCAAACTGTGTTGTCGAATGAGCAAAGCAGTGCCGCTGCCTCTTCATCCTCTGCTGCTGCTGCTGCTGCTTCTGTCGCTGTATAAACCCCCGAAATATAATTTCCTTTCCTTTTATTTGTGAATGTAATATAATATGTATTTACTTCCACTAAAAAACCAGGCTGATCTGTATCGGCAAATAAATAATAGCTTCAGAGTGACACTTACTCTTAAAGTGTCTCTCTCAGAAGCGTAAAGACGCTAGCTTGAAACGATTTCGGTTCGGTGGATCGAGTCGGACCGGTCCCAGCCGGTTTCTGAGCCGGGCTAGCTCAATCGGCAGAGCGTAAGACTCTTAATCTTAAGGTTGCGGGTTCGACCCCCGCGTTCGGCTTGCTTTTTTGTCTTTTTTTGTTGTGGGAGGGTTACTGTGTATAACTCTAACTTTTTGTGCGGGGAACCTGTAACCAAGTTGTGTTTTTGCTAGAATTTTGGTTAAAAAATCCTGTAATTACTGGATAGCAGAAGGTGTATTTCTCCGCCTGGTCGATTCGGCAGGCCGTGGAGTACCGGGCTAGCTCAATATTCGGCAGAGCATTTGACTCCTAATCTTAAGGTTGTGGGTTCGACTCCCGCGTCCGGTACGCTTTTCTAATTGCTTTTGGAATGTTGCCGTGTAATTTTCACCGAGTTAAAGTGAGTTTATAAAAAAATCACATTACAAAGTTTGGTTACTGCTACAGTAACCCTATTTCGTAACCACAGCCACACATTGGTTTTGATTTTAATTTAATATGCAAGGGTATAGCTCGCCTTACTTGTTAATAACAGTTCAGAATAAATGAATTAGAAAGGAAATGAGTTAGCGGCTAAACTTTTTTTCCAAAAGCTCAAGCAGCTTGACGACGCTAAGATGGACATACTCAAGATCAAGGATCTCAATGCGGTTATGCTTGCGCTCAAGCAGATCCTCGAGGAGCAGGTCCATGTTGATGACAGGTTTTTCGCGGCCTTTGTAAAATAGCTTGACTACATATGAGGCGGTGGAGGGGCTGCTGAAGCTAAAGTATACCTTGTCCTGGCGGTTCTCGGGAATGTTGGACTTGCACACGACCCCCATGCGCTCCAGCGCGTCTAGCTTAAAATCATAGGATACAGGGCGCTGGTTGTCTTCGCGCTTTTGCAGCTGCTGGCGACGGCTTTGCAGCGGACGCGGATCGACTACCGAGACTCCTACTGGCATCTTCTTGCGCTGGTTCTTGGGTGTAGCCGATTGCATGCGTACATTGCTCAAATAGGCCTTGTATGTCTCAATCTGGGCGGACAGATAGCCGTTGTAGTCACAAATGGTCTTGTACACGTCTGTTAGCCCAGTAATCTCGTCCTCAACTTTGTCGCGCAGACTGCCCAGATGGGCCAGCTCGTGCAGAATCTCCTCAGTCAGGTAGCGGTAGCCATCGCTGCGGTCAACGGCGCCGCTTTTCTCCAGCTCAATAAGCATCTCGCGTACCTTGATGCCTTTGCGCACCAGCATCGGGTCTTTGGACGTCGCTGCCTGCTCGGCAACAAACAAAAGGTCGTTCTTGGCTGCTGCGTTGTTTTCAGGCTTGTAGCGATTGTATTTGAGATGCGGCATGCTGCGGATTATCTGGACCAGAATCGATTTTGTCTCCACATACATGATGTCATGCTGCGTCAAGGCGTTGTCTGCTGCCAGTGTCGACAGGTCGGATAAAATGGGAGTTTCCCACCGGCTAAATAGCCCCAGCTCCAGCGTTGCATTAAGATTGCGCGGTACCAGTGGCGGTGCATCGCCCAGCTCGTCCAATAGCGTGCGCAGATGCGAGTCTGGCGATGGCGCCAGCACATGCAGATGCTGCCGCAGCAGCGCATGCGTGTTATACAGCTCATTAAGTGAAATGCTCAGCGTGATGTCGTGCTTGGTCAGGGCGACATACTGGTCCATCTCCATATTCTCGTAAAAATCGCTCACTTCGCACAGCTCGTTCAAAAACCGGTTGATACGGGCCCGGTTCGAGTCGATAAACGGCGCCAGCTCCTCCATGTACTTTTCTTTGGCATATGTGGGCTTGTTGTTGAGATTCTGCAGAAGCTTTGCCACCAAGGTCAGCACGCGCCGCGGATGCTGCGTGGGCGCATTTTCAATCAGCATATGTGCCTGAGGCGTTACAATTGCTGGGTTGATATAACGCAGAAAAAAGAACCCACCAATTAGCGAACATACTGCCGAGTCGGGGGCGTCCGGGTACCGTCGCTTTGTCAGCGACCGGATCTGCTTGCAGATCCACCGGATGCCATACGGCGTGCTGTCCTTGTGCTCTACGATTGTGTCCAAAAACCGCTTGGCAATACGTGTAAGCTCCTCCACCCGCGGCTCAATGGCAGCCCGCACTAGCGGATTGTTGGTTGCATCTTCAGTTGACACTCCCTGTGGAAAGTCGTCTACTGGCAGCCCACGGTCTACACGCTCCTGCCGTAGCTCCTCATATACCTTGAGTGGGTTAATTTCCAGATTCAAGTCGCGGTTCTCAATGATCTGTCCAATCTCCTGCGAAATCACGTTCTTCAGATACACCTGCCCCGGGCCACGGCTTGTGTATGTGTTCATCATTCGTGACACGGGTGTGTTCTGCCGGAGCAGATTCGAAAACTCCTGCGTGGTCTCAAACTGCGCAGCCAGCACCAGCTGGAACATGGTCAGCAGCAAGTGCTCCTCGCGAGACTCGTACTGGTTGCCGTACAGCGTAAACATCACTGTCTGCAGCAGCGTATCAATCTCGCTCAGGGTAACCAGCCGGGTCAGCGATGCAATGTGCCGTGGTTCATTCTGCAGCAGAAAAAACAGGTTTCCGTACAGCTGCATATGGTCACTATCTGGATAGTAGTCGTTGGTGGCTTGGTTAATGTCTTCCAGATGCGAGGACAGTTCCTATTTTTTTCAGATAGATGTATATTAAGCGTCTGAGCACTCTATGCGCATATTCTGCATTCAATGCCTACCTTGACTTCGTCTGCTGCCATGCGATTCTGAATCAGCAGCGCAATGCGGCTGTCAAGGTACCGCACATCCCGCTCTAACAGAAAGTTCTTTTTCGATTGCGTTGATATCTGGCCCTTCAATTCCCGCAGATTGCGCTGAGCTACGTAATTTTGTCTGTTAGCTGAAAAATGGCCATTTACCAAAACACAAGACATCATGTAATGGGAAGGATAAGCCCAATATGCGCACAACCAAAACACAGAAACCTAATTCAGCGAAAATCATCGAAAATCGTGCTGCTTCCCAAAAGAAAGAAGGAAAGGGAGGGGAGGGGCAACAATAACAAATGCTTTGGCGCAATGAGCAGCACATATACCACAAGTTGGCCATGTTTACCGCACCAGAAGAAAAGAGGGGAAGGGAGGGAAAAACAGAGCGCCAACAATGCAAAAAAAAGAAGCCAATAGGCTTTTTCTTCTGTTTGTGGTTCCAAACTTTATCCAGAAATGCGGTCCTTACCTTCCGAAAGCTCGTCGGAAACCTCTTCATCGCGCTCTGCCACTATGGAGTACAGCGCTGTCACTGAGTATCTGCGGCTACTGCGGTCTGCATCGCTGCTCTGAAGCCCTGACCGCCTATTTACTCGCTCGCCTGCATGTGTCCGGTGCATTGATGCCGAAGGTGCCGGTACTTCGCCTGAGCTCCGGTTGCTACCGCGTCTGACCGAGTCCATCATTTTTTCTAGCCTTATTTTTCCAAACAATAGACCAGAAAGAGAGAAGAGAAATAAATCCTATTTATGGTGCAGCTCGCTCAAAAAAAAAAAAAAACAATAATAATACTAAACCCGGCAATAAAAAGAAAGAAAAATGAGTTCCTAGTAAATAAAGCCTATGATAAGCCTCCGCTGAGCTTACGCCAAAAGAATATACGTTAAAAAAAAAAAGAGAGAGAGAGAAAGAAAGAAGAAAGGCCGTGAAATAAGAAAAATAATAATAAAGAAAAAACTGTCTGCGGAAACAAAAAGAGGGGAGATTATTTTTTGGAAGCTTGAATGGTACTGACCAGTTTGTTGTATGCGCAGAGACTGTTCTGATTAAACATGCAAAATACAACCCGCTCAATCGTGTTTGGATGCGCACCCAGCCACTCCTCCACTGCTGATAAAGCAACTGAGCATGCGGATTCTGCTGGGTATCCAAACACTCCCGTAGAGATACACGGAAATGCAATGCTACGCACGTTGTTATGAAGTGCTACATTGAGTGATTCGCGGTATGCACTGGCCAGCAGCTCTGGCTTTTCGCCTATTGGCCCAACTGTATGAATTACATACTTTGCTGGCAGATTAAAGCCCGGCGTGATCTTGGCCTGGCCTGTCCGGCATCCCTTATGTGCCCGGCACGCTTCCAGCAGCTGCGGTCCAGCTGCTTTGTGAATCGCTCCATCTACCCCTCCTCCACCTAGAAGCCTTTCGTCAGCTGCGTTGACTATTGCGTCCACTTCCAGCGTAGTTATATCGCCCTTCCATATGCTGATCAGCGAAAGAAACGACCCGCTGGAAGCCGCACGTCCTAGCTGCTCGGCTACGGTTTGGATATCTGATACTTTGGTTATTCTGGCCATTTAATGAATAAATTGGAAACGAGGGGATTAGGGCCTGGTGCCTTTGCCTTACCCTGCATTGCCACAAATCTGTTGTCACAAGGCAATTATGGTAGTAGCACTGCTGCCAATGTCTGTCTATTGTGTAATTATAATGCCTCTTCTACCTTCAAAATAAAAATTTATTCGTAGTGTAAAGCTTGCCAAATGTAGATATTACGTTTTGTGATCCGAAACTGTTGAAGCGACTCGGCGTCCAATGCTCTTGAGCCAGCATGCTTTAAGACCAGCAGTTGTAGCATCAGAATAACTGGATTGTGGTTTTATGAAGAGCTGAGAGTGTGTAGTCCTCAGTATATGGTCTATTTAAGCTTGTATTTAGAGGATCTGCTAATGTGTTGTTTTATGATTGATCTCCAAATCGCTGTACCTGTTGTTTAGGCCGGCGAATATGGATCATGATAGCGACTTTAGCTATTTGCACTTTGTTAAAATAGAAGTCATGAGACCAGCATCAATAACTCTATTAAGCTACAAAATAGTTAAGCCAAGGCAGTCTAAGCTCTTGGCAGCAAGCAATAAATTGCAGCCATTGATATAGATAGATGTATTCATTGAGATATAAGCAAGGTGGTTAAGAAATAAAAAGAGTTGAGAATGCGCCTGTTCAGAGGCAGTTACAGCAAATTTCAGCTTTTTGATGGTTGGTATTTGAACATCATTAAATGTCAGAAATGTTGTTGGTTTAGCAGTGATTGAAATGTTATTCATACTCTGAGGTGAAATAATTGTTAGAGTAATCCGACTGGTCCGTATATACAATATAAGGCTTAAAGAGATATGTAATGTTTTTATTTGCACCAAAAACCTCCATGTATACTCTGGTTGCAAGCCATAAACTATCGGCTGCTGGATGTTTTTTTAGATTAAAATGTAGACAGATGCGTTCGTTATGGCTAAACAGCTTTATATCCACACTAATAATTGGACTCAATTATATCGAATCAGATGAGGCATTGTAACTTAAACAAGAGAGCC